AACTCCCGATCCAATATCGATGGCAGTATCGGCAGTTTGATGATGTCGATGTCGCTGATCATAGTATGATCGAAGATTTGACAGTTAGCTGAGTCTTGAAGTTTTTTCTGAGCCGCTTCATCCAATTCGCGACTTGTACATATATATACTTCCATCCTTTAATCGCACTAAACTCTCTACTTGACTCTCATAAATACCTCTCTTCATATTGTTTGTTGTTGAAATAATTCCTTCTTGATATCCATATATTCGATCAATATGATTGAAAAACGAGCCAATGGTGCTTTGCACGCAAATCCAGATGTTTTTCACTACCCAGCAAATTCCGATATCAACATCACAACCCGTGGAAGTGATGTGTATTGGGCCATTACTGCTGCAATGGCCTTTGCAACTATAATTTTTCTGGCTATGAGCTTCCGAGTCCCAAGAAGCAAGCGTGTTTTCCATTACATCACTGCGGCCATTACTATGACAGCCTCGATTGCGTACTTTACGATGGCATCAAATCTGGGCTACGCTTCTATCATCCAGGAATTCCAACGTAGTGATCCCAAAGTCAGTGGTGTATATCGGGAAATCTTCTACGTGAGATATATTGATTGGGTTATCACAACTCCTGTAAGAATGCCTGATGTTACCTTCCTATATGGTCAAATGCTAATAATCATGATCTCAGCTTTTACTCTTGGATATCCTCTTGACTGCAGGTCTTCCATGGCCAACGATATTGTTCACAATCTTCTTGGACGAGATCATGATCATCACCGGCCTCGTTGGTGCTCTCGTTGCATCTTCTTATAAATGGGGATATTTCGTATTCGCAATGGCAGCTCTCTTCGGCATTGCGTGGAACATTCTCGTCGTCGGAGCTCAACATGCCAAAGCTTTGGGCACCGAAGTGAACAAAGTATACTGGACTTGTGGAGGCATCACCATGTTCCTCTGGTTCCTCTACCCTATCGCTTGGGGTCTTTCGGAGGGTGGAAACGTCATTGCACCAGATTCGGAAGCAGTTTTCTACGGTGTGCTCGATGTCCTTGCCAAGATTGGCTTTGGTGCTATCTTGCTGTTTGGCCATCGTAATATCGATCCTGCGCATTTGGGTCTGCATATCAGGGATTATGATGAGCAGCCAAGGACATTCCATGATAAGGATGGTGATCATCATAACGGTGCCCATCATAATGGTGCACATGTCCCGGTTACGAACAACGCTGGCTATCGTGAGGGACAGAATACCCCAGCTGCCACTGCAATTAACTCAAACCATGCGGTTAATGATCCAGCATTCAACAACACGGGAACTATTCCAGTCAACTCTTCTGCTGTCTAAACTACAAGCTTTTGGTTGCTTGGGCAATATGATGGTTGAGAAATCTTGGATCAGAAAATCCGAAGTAGAAATTTCGGCTGCATATGCTCGGAATATCTCTTTGATATGGTGGCATATATTCACCAAAATAAAAAGGTTCAGAATATAAATCTTGGAAATCTCTCACTGGAAAGAAATTCTGGTTCGCCTGGAATGAGAATGGGGACTTGTTTTTATTTATGTCTAATGATAATGAAGTTGAGGGAGAGGGATTATATAAATATTGGAGGTCGAGCGTGTGAGGGGGATGGATAAGGTGAAACTTGATGGTGAAGTTTATTTTCTATTTTAATTACTTCTATTTTTGAGATAATGTGATGAGTATGATTTATTTATTTGATTGTGGAGTGGAAGTGCAGATTGTGGTGATTCTTATTTGCGTGAATGTTAAATGTGAGATGGATATACAGAGGTATTATTCTGCAGTGATGTGTGTGTTGTGGAATGTAGAACGAGCGTTGCTAGTGTAACGCATGTACTACGTGATCGGGATGGAGTGGTCGTTTTCTCTTGGGAAGCAGTTACCTGATATTACTAGCAGGTAGAGAGCTTATAACCGGACTATATGGTTTACTGGAGACACTCCCAGAGCTTTTGACCTTTATCATATATTCGATTGAATTCGAGTTTGAAATGATACGAAGTGTGCGGAGCTCAAGCATTTTTAGGGATATTCATTAGAATGCCCTCAATGAGTTGAATGATGTCAATGCTTGGTTCTATTATGGTTGAAAGAGATGTTGAATGAGGGGTGTGTGGAGCATTTCCTCTCGGTCTCAAGTGACTCCCATAGGATAGGGTTATTTGTATGCCGGTTGGATTTACTCCGGATAACTTAAATAATATACCATTTGCCGAATCTTGCAGGAGGTATTGATAAGGGGGTTATTTTGATGGGTTAGATGTAAGGATGGTGCTTGGTTCACATGCTTGTTTGAAGCTGTCGTATTTGGGTTTTGGGGAAGATCCTGCGTATTGTGATAGTGTAATATATATGACGATGTTGAGGGATAATTGAGGTATGTCTATTCAGTTATCTTCATGCCAGTAGTGTTCTTGGGGATTAAATCGATTCTTTCTATCACAATAATGCTACATGCATGGCTCGGATGGCTGACAAGTGAGGTCTACTCAATTCTCCCTACGCCAGTAATATTCCGGGGGATAAACTCGACGGTTGTTCCAATGATGACGATACATTATATGGTGCATGGTGCTTGACGAATGTAGAAGGTGGGGTGGATATCCTGCTTGTCTCGGAAATTCCTGTGCATTTTCATTCGTTAATGGTGATTACGTCGGCGAGATCTTACTCCGATTTAAATCTACCCCAGTTTGTAGCCAAAACCCCCAAATATTGTGATTCTAGTCTTGTGTATAAGTCATGAATGATTCCTATCAAGATTTCCTATTCGAATCTTTGGAGTTTCAAAATTCACAATGGCAATTCCCCTCGGTAAATTTCTCCTTCTGATCTTGGGCTTCGTAGCTCTTGTCAGAAGCACCACATTATCTCGCTTTCACGAGGACGATCCAGCACCAGGTGGTCTGGCATTCAAATACCCTTACCCCGTGCACTTCTACCATTTCACCTCGCAACAGCAAAATCTAACCATGGCCTACATGGATGTTTCTCCCTCCAACACCACTTCCTACGCCGGAATCATCGTTCTCCTCCACGGTAAAAACTTCTGCGGTGCCACCTGGAACACGACCGCTCACGCTCTCGCTTCCATCGGCTACCGCGTCGTCATTCCTGACCAAATCGGCTTCTGCAAATCCTCAAAAACAATGCACTATCAATTTTCCCTGCACCAACTCGCCACCAACACGAATTTTCTCCTCCAATCCCTCAACATCACTTCCGCAATCATCATGGGTCATTCCATGGGCGGCATGATATCCGTCCGCTACGCCCTCACCTTTCCCTCTCAAACCCAGCGTCTCATCCTTGTCGACCCCCTCGGTCTCGAAGACTGGCAGGCCCTAGGAGTTCCCTACCAACGCCCCGATCTCTCCTTCATCACCGAGCTCGCCACGACCTACACCAGCATCATGACGTACCAGAAATCCACCTACTATGGCGGGACCTGGGATCTCGCCTACGACGAATGGGCCAATATGCTTCTGGAGGTGTATACGGGACCGCAGGGACGCACGTTCGCGTGGGACATGGCGTTGATAACGGATGCGATTTTTGTGGAGCCGATCGTGTATCAGCTGCCGAATTTGACGATGAAGAGTTTGCTGGTGGTGGGAGATCGGGATAATACGGCGATAGGCAAGGCGTGGGCGCCGGCGAGTGTGCAGGCGGTGTTGGGGCATTACGAGGTGCTGGGGAAGGAGGTTGCGGCGAGGGTCCCGGGGATGGATTTGGTGGAGCTGGAGGGGTTGGGCCATAGTCCGCAGATTCAGGATTTTGAGACGTTTTGGGAGGCGGTGGAGGGGTGGCTGAGGGTGCAGGTGGTGTAGGGGGTGGGGGAAGATGGGGTCGTTTTATGTTCTGGTCTCTTTTTTTCTCTTTGATGTGTACGAGTACTGCGAGTGAGTGGGTGATCTGATCATGCGAGTAATTCCACTAAGATCTATAATTCAAATTATCGAAAATGTTATCGACAGCACATACTCTCATGATTTGATAAATGAATTATTGATACTGTATTAGACACATGGGCTAGAATCTGCATAATCTCTTTCCTCTTTCTTTTCTTGTTCCATATCTTTTTAGAATTCATCAGTTTTGAATTCTTCTAATCAAAAAGAAAAGGAGATACGGAATGAAGTATTCTCTCCTACTCTAGTATCTATTCAGGGGCTTTAGAAGTAGTGTTTATATCATATTGATACGATTAGGTTTGGATATTGTATGATTATACAATTTTTCTGCGGCATTTGGATTGAAATGTTGTTTGATTTGAGTAATTTGTGTTTATCTTCTGATTTTATGAGTATCTAGGTAGGTAGGTAGGTGATTGTAATTTATTTTCGATTTTCTAATCCGATTTGTTGTAGTTCTTCTGCTTGTTTGGGAGGGAGGTGGGGTTGGCTTGCTCTGTTCACTTTACTGTGTTTTGTGATGGGGTACTCTCATACTCTAGGAAACCCAAAATATTACTCTCATGCCGGCAAATTTTCGAAATTTCATAGTCCAGAATCTATATTTGGGTATAAGAGTAAGATGGCTTCAATTCCCTTAGGGCTGGAGAGTGATTAGTCGTGATGTTCTATTGTGCTATTCCCTTTCGCCGGGAGAGTAAAGTATCAATTGATTAACATTTATATAGTGACTTGGGTCTTTTTACCTTTTTCTTTTCGATGTTACGCTTACTGCTTCCCGCAATTTTAAAAGTTGAGAGAACAATTACTTTGTTTGAAAAACCGACTAGTATTTATTTGACATGATGTTAACAAAGAACTCGTCAACGCAAACGTCTAATAGCCGAATTTCTTTTCGCTTCCAAAGACGCGATTCAAAGTACAAAGAAAATCTTCTTCCGGTGGAGTTCCCAGTAGCTGTGGCTTCTCTTTGAGACTTCAAACCTTAATAACCACTTTCACTTCAAGTATTCGTAAGTACTGGGGTATCATCATATCAGAAATATACACCAAATTTCACATAGTCATCATGAGTACCCTAGGGAGACGATCACAAATTGGAGAAGGTTCCAGGTCTGCTTACACTTCAGCCTACCACAGCTTTGGAGAAGGGCAAGAAGCATGGTCAGAAAATCTTCGAGAGCGGAGTTCGTGGGGAGAAACGGCAGGAGAAGATTTATTTGAAGATGCAACTTCAGGGAAAAAGATGGAAGAAAAAGAAGAGCTTGGGAAAAGTCAAGTTTCTCCTGAGCATGAGGAAATCTCCCCGGAGGGTTCACCCGCCGCAACTCCCGATCCCGCTACGGAAGTGACTGAATCTTCCGAACCTGATGGCGATATTAAGGACGCCAAAGCTGAGGAAAGCAGGCGCAAACGAGAGGACATTTCCCGAGCAAAAAAAGGAAAAGGCAGGGAAAGTGAGGAGGGAGAAGAAGGAGGGGCATGTGAACCTTTTATGCACTGGAAACGAACGGGGCAAACAAAAACAGCAAAGCCAAGGGGAAACCAGCACGAAATAGAAGAGAAGCTTAACCAAGATGCTGCGCAGAGAGCTCGTCTACTTGAAAGAGATCTCGATGCGCCATCTGGCGCCGCTGATATCCCCGAGCCCAGAGTCCCCGATCCCATACCGACGCCTGAAACACGGATAGGAACTGAAGAAAAGAAATACTACGTCTACAAAGCACCACACAAAGTAAGCTACGTCAAGCCCTGGACCTGGACCTGGCCCTGGCCATTTCGCCGCGCGAAACCCGCTGACGAAACAGAAAATGCAGCGGGAGAAGGACACTACTATACCCACAAAAGGCGACCCAAGTCCTCCCCCTCCTGGCTATTCTGGAAGTGGAATTGGGGGGCTCCGAAATCCATATCGTGGATTCCCATCTACCCGTCCTATCACCCGGAGAAAGATGATCCGGAGCTGAAAATCTTCATTTCGTATAGCTGTGGACATCGATTTCCTACTCGTGTGGTTTCCGGTCCTACCTGGACGGCCTCGTCGCCTTCATTTCTCTTCTCCCCCTCCTCCTCCTTCACGCCCAATACACCCACCTACCCAAGAAGTGGGACCACAAGCGGCCACCCGCACATCCGTCCGCTCCCATCCTTAAAAATCGAAACTCTGCGCGCTGCGGCTCGGAACGAAGGAATCAAGAACATCGTTTCCCCTGAAGACTACACGTGTCCCAATTGCTCCATATGGTGGCAATTTTACGGTGGATTATTCTGGTTGACCTTATTTTGGGCTATCTTCACGTGGTACTTTGCGTTTGTATGGCCTTACACGTGGTGGGCTACGACCGAGAACGGGGATCCAATCCCGAGATATACATTGATTACAAAATTCGATATTCATCGCGAAGGAGAAGAATTTCGTGTACGTCAGGCCATAGGAGGGTTGGTGATAACGATTTTTTGGTTTTTTGTCAGGAATTTGTGGCAGCCTGTGGTTTTGACTCTGTTTGTTTTATTTCTACTCAAACGATTTAAAAAGGCGGAAGAGGAAGTTCTTCGGCGGAATAATTATTGAGTGCCTTATTTATCATTTCAAATAAAAATGATGTTTTTCTCTTTCGGATAAATGGGGAAAGAGGGGAGAGGGGGGGTGGATTACTTAATAACCAGTTCTATACAATCAACCCCTTTTCAATGCTTTTTTTTTGTTTTACGTTCTCTATAAACCCCGCAGTTATTTATCTTTTCTATATCATTTCAATATTCGATCCGGAATAATAAAACGATTGAGTACTAAAGGTTACGAGGGAGATGGATTTCCTTTTTTTAATTTAATATCATATAACATAGTTTAACACCGAATGGGCTATTTTTATCTTAATTTACATCTTCAAATATAGATTATTCAATAACTATTAAATCAATTAATTTAAATTATTAAGAATCTAATAATCTAGGATCTATTATATTATTTTCATAGATTTTTATATTAAAATCTAACTTTTTATATTTATTATAATATTTATTAAAAAATGCTTTTTTATTAGAATTTCCCTCATTTTGATATTTATTTGTCACGGAATTCACCGTCTTGTGCAACAACACGTGATTGAGCATGGCACTCCTACGAAGTGCTTATTCCTATAATCATTATATAGTCTTCTATTCATTTTATATGTGAATCCTAATATCTAATTAGGCAACTTTGTTGTTCAATCAGAGTATATAAGATAGGTATAATCCTTATAATCATATTATAAGTTAATCTAATTTATTAAAATATATATATCTATTATATAATTAAAGTAATTAATTGATATAGCTATCCCTTTATAATAGTTATAAGCCTAATTAGTATTTAAATTATATATATATATATATATATTTATATATATCTTTTGATTCATTTGAAATCATTTATATATCTTTATATTCAATCTTATAAAACTTATTATATTTAAATCCAATTCCTTAGAAATTACTTATTTAATTACTCGAGGATATTAATCAAAATAATTTCTATATCTATAATATCTTTATATATCAAAAGGTATCTAAAGAGATATTAAACTATTCAACAACAAGATTATTCCAATTATTTCAATCAATTTCAGAAAATCTTTAGAAAATAGCAAAAAATTTTATTAGGTAATCTCGATTTATAAAAAAAACTGGCTTATTAAAAATCTATTCAAACTCATTAAGATTATAAATCTTATAAAAAAATACAATTTGAATAATAATGTAAAATATATTAGTAATCTCATTGCTTATTAGAATTATTATAAAAAGAATTTATAAGAAGATATTCCAATGTCTTTTATATCTTCAAAAACATTAATTATAAAACTAATTAAATCTGTATTATATACTTTTCAAAATATATTAATAAAATATTTAGTTTTATAGGAAGAATATTATAATAAAAGAAATAAATATAATATTATATATAAATTGTATTAGAATATTTATAAATAAATTAATAAAATAATAAATATATTTTATTTTATAGAAATTATTATTAAATATAAAGATTCTAAAGTATTATTATTTAAGATAATTATTTAAAAGTTTTAGAATAAGCTTATATTGACAATTATTATAATAAAATCTATTATTGTTTAAGAATATCGAAATATTCTTTAATAAATAACTTTAAATCAAATTAATTCTATCAAATAATATAATAAATGGATCAAAACTTATACAAATATAAAATTATATTATATCGAAATCAAGAATAACTTAATAATTATTAATTTCCTATAGATTATAGGCATATAAATACTTCCTATATAAATTAGTATTATATTTATTTAAATTGAAATTAATAATCAACTTAAAGTCTCTAACTATTCTTTAAAGTAGTTTGAGGATATATTTAGTGATTTAATCTATCAAGATTTATTAGTACTAAAAGGAAAGAGTATCTTTTTTATAATAAATTCTTAATCAAAACTAATTCTATATAATCCACAAGAAAAACAAGGAAATAGTTTAAGGAAGAACTATTTTAAAAGGAATAATAACTAATATTATTATTTTTATAAATCAGAATCTAATTGGAAAAATAAAAAAACTAATTCTAAATACTATTCTAAAATATATTAATCGATAGAATTTATATTTATTAAAAAATATAACTCTAAAAACTCATTTTCATTAATAAAAAAAGAATATAATAATATACAAAAAAAAATCAAGAATAATTAATAATCAAATCTTCAAAAAATCTGGAAGCAAAAGAAATAAATCAATTCAAAAAATAAAACTTCTTAATTATCTAATTCTAAAGATCTAAAATCAAGAATAATAACCTACATTATTCAAGATTAATCTAACTATAGAATATATAATACATTTTCAGAATTATTTTATTCATTCTCTAATAATATTATATTTAATAATAATAATATTATATATCTTAGGGTAATATTAATCTTCTTAATAAAAACGAATACTCATTTTTACTATCTTCTAATTATATTAAAACTAGAACTATAAGATTTCAAATTATTGAATAAAGTATTCAAATAATCAAAAATATCTTACAAAAACCTTAGGGTTTAAAAAATAATTTGATTTTATTTAATATTATTTATATTTCCGGATTTTATATTAATATTATTTCGAAAACAAGATTTATAGAAGTAGAAATATAATTTTTAAAAATAAATTCAATTTTATAAAAAAGCAATCTTGAGAATAGTTATATTATTACTTAATATATTTATAAAGATAATTTTTTATTCTTAGAATATAAATCTTTTTCCTTCTATTCATTTTTTTTAAGCTTTATATTTATTAATCTATATATTTTAATATATTCTATTCTCAATATAAAGATCAAAAGGCTATTTCGTAAATCAAAGAATCTATTTAAACTATAGGAAAACTCTATAGAATTATAGTATAAAAAATTAGAATATTTAGAAAAAAAGACTTTTAAATATCTTATTTTTATAGTAAGAAATATGAAAATAAAAGGAATTATTAGAATTGAGTATATAAATTACATTCATATTTATATAAAACAAATAATATTATAAACTTCTAATGAATATCAATTATCTTATTTTTTCTATAAAATATAATGAGATTTATTCAACTTTCTATATATATATATTAAAGTATTCTAGCTTTTAGTAATTAAAAATATATATAGTAAGAAAATCTTTAGTTTTTTATTATATCAAAAGATATATTTTGAGGGTTTTCAGATTATATAGTACTTTCTTATTTAAATACTCCGAAAATATAGTCTTTCAATAATTTATATTAAGTAAGATAATAATACCTCAATTATTAATATTATAAGAAATATTATATTCAAAAATTGAATAAATATAGAAAATATAAAACTAGAGTTATTATTACTTAATATATACAAATTAAATAACAAATTAGAATAAATGGGATAAGAGGTAATTATTAAACAGATTAAAATACGAATATTCTTAGGAATACTGAATTTATTATAAATAGAAATAATACAAGTTGTAATTTATTTATACAATATTAATTTCTTTAAAACTTGATTATTTAAATTATTAAATAAAATATTGGATATTTGGTTTTATAAATACCTTCAATCATCCATTTTTTTAATTACAAATCATTTAACTATCAATCTATATCCAAATTGAAATAATATTTATTAATATAGATATAGAGTATATTCACTAAATAAAGAATAAGAATTAAATATAAACAAAAAAATATATAAAACTAATCCTAAAGCAAATATTGAATATCTTATAAAATACATACCAGATTTAGCAATCTATTATATCTGAATTCCTAAACTCAAGTGAGTTATTGTTATTTGAAATATTATTTTTTTCAAAAAAAGAATTTATAAAATGAATCTTTTGAATAAAATTATTGATATTCATATAAATCAAGAGCTACAGCAATTTACACTAGTTTTTGATATTTAATAAACTATTAATATCAATAGAATTATTATTAATCAAAAGAATAATATAATAATTTTATAATATATCACTACTAAGATTAATAATATCACTATATATATTATAGATATACTTCAAAAAGAATAGAATTCAAAAATATATTAATTAAACAAAGGAATTCACATATTCTACTCTAATAGTATAAAGTAATTATAATAATCAATTAGATAATATAGAATATAAATATATTAATAATATTATCTAAATTATATATAAAAAATACAAAAATAATTCAGATATTTATTCTATTGATATTATAGATTTATATATAATTGAGGAAGTAATATTATTGAAAAGATTATCTTTCTTAATATATATAATTAATTAATTCAAGGAAAATCAAATCTTATTTCTTTTTAATCAAATATACAAAAAACAAAGAATAATAAGAATTGAGATTCTTTATTTAATTCTTAATTTATTTAAATATTAATTCTTTAACTTTAATTAAATAATTTCTAGTATTAATATATATACAAATTATTAATATTATACTCAATAATAAAAGAGATTAAAGAATAATTTATTATAATATAATCAAATATTTATTAATATACTTATTACAAATCTATTATAAAAAAGTGATTTTTATATTAAAGATTTTTATATTACATTTTAGTTTAATTATTTAAATATAAATAAATAAAAGGAACAATACTCATTTATTACTATACACAATATAATTGCCTTTGTTATATAAACAAAAACTAGTTTACCTAATAATTTAAAAAAGGATTATATAAAGGAATTATTAAAACTACACCTTTCAGGATTACCCAAATTATTATAACATTATCACCACCTCAAGAATCATTTTCTAGAAAAATGATTTAAATATAAATATAAAATTGAAATAAATAATCTAAAGGATTACAAAACCTAATATAAGATAAATACAGAAAATATATTAATTGCTTCTATTCCATTATAATAAATATTTATATATAAATATAATAAATAAGGATTCCTTATAAGATATAGAGCTAGATTAATTGTTTATAATAATCTTCAAATTAAAAATATAATTGAATTAATATATATAGCTATATTTGCAAAAAGATTATTTAGGATTGTAATAATATTTATAACAAAATATAAT